TTATCCTAACAGGCCTGTTCATCATTTCTCCGTATAAGTCAGATGTTTGGCAGCAAGGAGATGCCTAAAACTTCCAGGGCCAGTTTTTTTTACTTTATTCATATTTTTAGTTTTTACAGCACGAGTGGCTCTTTTTAATGAGCAACACAGACATGCAGGAAAGGACCACAGGCTGGATTCAAACCCCGGTCACGCGCGTCAAAGGCTAAGGCCTTCATACATGGGTTGTGTGCGCTAACCACTGCGCCACCAAAGCATGCCCAGAACCTGTTTTTTCATTTTATTTAGTATTTTTAAAGATTGTTGGTGTGACTCCAAAAATCATCCAGTCCCAAAGCATCACCGATCCTCCACCATACTCAACACTGGATATGATGCGTTTATCCACTTCTTTTTTTATACAGGAGCTAAAACAGAAGCTCAGTCTTGGTGTCATCTAGTGGAGTAAAGCACCCCATCCCGGTAGCATTTAGTGGATAATTGGATAGAAAATGTATTACTATAAGACTAGATTTTTATGGAGGGAAGCAACTCTTCCCTGCGCATCAAAAATATTTTTCACCTCTATCGTCATCCTGCTATAATCGCCTTTAACAAACAACCAGAGAACATACAAGTTTAACCCCTTTAGCCCAGATGGTTTTAGGAGCAAAATCCGCCTGAAATTACAAATGTGAATTAAAGGAAGTACAGCTCCCAAACTATATATAGTTGGAAATACAACAGTTTGTATTTGCATAACAGAAAGGCATTGATGAATATTTTTCAGGTGGAACCACTATTGTAAATGTTATTATAGACATGATGACGAGGCAAAAAAATATTTTTTTACATTTTTTCCGAGATAAAACACCATGAAACCCCATTTGAAACTTTGGATGAACTTTAGACTTTATAGATTCCCATCTTAACTATAACTAAACTTCATATGGACCGAATTAATTGAAGCATGCTTGTGCCGCTAAGGTTTTAGGGGGCAGTGTGCTTTGCGGAAATGTGATTTTGGCACAGTGGTGCCAAAAGTGGCCAAATTGTGCCAAATAAATTTTTTTCAAAGGGAATCAGACCAGACCAGTATGCTGACTGACATTATTGGAGACCTTCTGCATGAGGCAAAGCCTATGCTCCTAAGATTTAGCCGTTGGTTTATTTCAAATTTACCATTGAACACACAGTATCACTAAACTGAATAGAAAAAAAGATGGACTGAGTATTTTTTCTCACCAAACTGTTTTTTTTTTTTTTTTTTGAAAACAAGAATTAGAAATAAAAAACTGTACAAAAACGTAAAAAAATCAATTAGAATCAGAAGCGTTTGTTGAAAAATTTGCAAAAATAATTATGACACATCCCCAACATCAGTCACAGGTGTTGTGGGACAAACCTGGTTTGCAGATTTTTACAGCTATTAAAAAGTTTTTGTGAAAAAAAAAAGATTTTAAAACATGTTTTAGAAATTTTAAGGCCCCGTTTTGAAAGGCATGTGGATGAAACACAATGTGAATGTTGTGAATGTACCGGCCCGCCGGGCTCAAGGTTATAGTATTATAGTTTTACATCTAAAGGATCAGAAGATGTTCTACACTGAAAAGAGTAATGCACCCGCTTTTGGCATTTATTTAGTTACTTCAACTAGTGTTGCACCGATACCAGTATCGGGCGGGGCCCCGATCCAGCAGTAAAATGGTGGTATCGGTATCAGTGTGTACCAACAAATAGGACACCAATACCATTTTAAGAGCCAATAGTTTATTCAACTATTGTCAACCATCCCAGGTAGGCAATAAAAGTTCTACGGGATTCCCTTTGTATTAGTCTTTTTTCCTGCTTCACAAAGATAGGCAGCAGCTTGACAAAGCCATGATGGCAACTATTTTACATCCAAGTATGCAGTTCTTCATATCTACACACAAACACATCAATTTCAAATAGATGGTATCAGCAAATACTGCACAGCCAGGTATCGGTGCCAAAAAATGGCATCGGCACAACACTAACTTTAACACAAGTGTTTTATGTCCTATCCTATAGAGGATAAAAAGTGCCACAATTAAATAAATAAATAAATACAGCATTAAATAAATAATTAAATGTGTTAACAATTAATTAAATGTGGAATTAAATAAATAAATGTGTCATTCATGAATTAAAACCACGTCACTAATATAAAGTGCCACAATTAAATAAATAAATACAGCGATAAGCAATTAATTAAATGTGTAATTCATTAAATAAATAAGGAATCAAATATATAAATGTGTCATTAATAAAATACGTCTTCATTTTATTAAAAAATATATATAATTATTTCAGTGTGCATTTAATTATTTCATGGCCCTGTGTCGCAGTGCATCGAAACCATTAAAAGAATCTGTCAAACTCACCCATCAAAGTTAGGGGGCGGGGTTAACGCGAATCGAGTCGCCACCTACTGTATCAGAGAAGTTCACAACCCGTGGATCACAGTCTCTGTAATCGATTTGCTTCGCCTTAATGTGCAGGGTGACCAATCAGGTGTTAGATAACCGCCCCCTAACTTTGATGGGTGAGTTTAACAGATTCTTTTAACGGTTTCGATGCACTGCGACACAGGGCCATGAAATAATGAAATGCACACTGAAATAATTATATATGTTTTAATAAAATGAAGATGTACTTAATTAATGACATATTTATATATTTAATTCCTTATTTAATGAATTACACATTTCATTGTTTATCGCTATATTTATTTATTTAATTGTGGCACTTTATATTAGTGACGTGGTTTTAATTAATGAATGACATTTAATTCCACATTTAATTAATTATTGACACATTTAATTATTTATCTAATGCTGTATTTATTTATTTAATTTTGGCACTTTTTATCCTCCATACTATCCTTCTAAAATTAAACAATTGTGTTAAAGTAACTAAATATGATTAAGGAAATGCCAAAAAGGGTTGCATTATTTTTTTTCAGTGTAGGACATTTCATTCCTCAGTAGGAATCTGATTTCCCCCCAGTTGTCTTATAGCAAACTGCATGCTGAGGTGAGTAAATGATTGGAGCATTGATGTCAAACTGCATTTCTACAACTTTGTGGCACAAAGCTGCAGCTTGAAAATCTCACATTGGAGGAAGGTTTATAAAAAAACAAAACAAACAAACAGGTATTTAAACAGTTATAGCTAAAAAAGAAATGTTTCAATAGAAAGTCAGAAAACAGACTTAAACTGTTGTTGGGGATTTATTGCAGGTACTTTTTTTATTTCTATAGATTACATTCGTTCAGAAGCTGATATTTAATCTAACATTCAGAACACGATTCCATATAAACACAATAAACCGCTTCAGGATTTTATTTAAAGAAAAAAAAAAAGCAGCCAGAACATGTTTCATTTTCCAGGATAAAAACATTTATGTGATATAACACCTCTCAGCTCCACACAGTGGATTCATGGAAAAATAAATACGTCCAAATCTACCAACAATAATTAGATTCGAACAGCGACTTAAGAGACTGAACTGATCCATCAGAGACCATCAAACTGCAAAACAATCGGAGGATTCAGGTTCAGGGGGAAAAAACATAGAAATGGGAGATCTTTCAATGCAGCACATCGTTATTGTTACAGCTCTTTGATAAAACACAGCTGCACATAAATAATCAGGCTAAAACAATCGGTCACATCTAAACCAAAGATGGTTGCAAAGCGTCTCTGCTGGTTTTTTAGTGTCCAAACTCATCGTGTCCTGGAACTTTAGTTTGGAGAAAATAATGACGTATATTGTAAGAAGTAAAAATAAGATTTTGTGGGTCAAAGTTCAACAGAAGGAGGAACAAAAGGCATGTATGATCCTCATTCATGATGTTTTCGAGATAATCTTCGAGATGTTCAGAAACTCAGGAGAACATCTCTGGTTCCAGGACACGCATGTAAACTTCTGGTCAGAGAGACGTTCAGCGTCTCTTCTGTCAGAAGACGGAGCAGCAAAGCAGAGGTTTCCTCCATCAGTCTGAGCCGTCAGGACCTCCAGAACCCGGAGCTCAGCTGGCCTTTAGGTGGACTGATCTGCCGGTTCTGCAGCGAAGTCTGAGTGGAACAGAAAAGGTTTCATCTTTACAGAAAAATACGTTTTCTGGGCTGCATCATCAGTCTGTCAGAAAATCTATTTTCTAAGATTCTCAATAAGGGAAAAATCAGGCAACATTTAGTCCGGGCCGTTTAGTTGTCTGCTGCTTTGATTTAGAGCAACGCCGCTGTTTTCATGAATACAGCAGCCTTTAAAGTCGGAGGGAAGCGGCTGTTCCAACGGTTGCAGTTCTGAATTCTCCCGAGTGGTGCACGACTTTACACGAGTGAATAAAGTGAATTTGATGGTCGATTATCAAGGGGGCGGGATTGTTCTTGTGGAAGGTTCACAAGCACGTTTGATTGGGGCCAATCTCTCAGAAGCATCTTGCTAACCAGTTAGCAACTTAGTGCTAGTAGGTTCTCAAGGGGAAATTCNTATTTATTTATTTAATTGTGGCACTTTATATTAGTGACGTGGTTTTAATTAATGAATGACATTTAATTCCACATTTAATTAATTATTGACACATTTAATTATTTATCTAATGCTGTATTTATTTATTTAATTTTGGCACTTTTTATCCTCCATACTATCCTTCTAAAATTAAACAATTGTGTTAAAGTAACTAAATATGATTAAGGAAATGCCAAAAAGGGTTGCATTATTTTTTTTCAGTGTAGGACATTTCATTCCTCAGTAGGAATCTGATTTCCCCCCAGTTGTCTTATAGCAAACTGCATGCTGAGGTGAGTAAATGATTGGAGCATTGATGTCAAACTGCATTTCTACAACTTTGTGGCACAAAGCTGCAGCTTGAAAATCTCACATTGGAGGAAGGTTTATAAAAAAACAAAACAAACAAACAGGTATTTAAACAGTTATAGCTAAAAAAGAAATGTTTCAATAGAAAGTCAGAAAACAGACTTAAACTGTTGTTGGGGATTTATTGCAGGTACTTTTTTTATTTCTATAGATTACATTCGTTCAGAAGCTGATATTTAATCTAACATTCAGAACACGATTCCATATAAACACAATAAACCGCTTCAGGATTTTATTTAAAGAAAAAAAAAAAGCAGCCAGAACATGTTTCATTTTCCAGGATAAAAACATTTATGTGATATAACACCTCTCAGCTCCACACAGTGGATTCATGGAAAAATAAATACGTCCAAATCTACCAACAATAATTAGATTCGAACAGCGACTTAAGAGACTGAACTGATCCATCAGAGACCATCAAACTGCAAAACAATCGGAGGATTCAGGTTCAGGGGGAAAAAACATAGAAATGGGAGATCTTTCAATGCAGCACATCGTTATTGTTACAGCTCTTTGATAAAACACAGCTGCACATAAATAATCAGGCTAAAACAATCGGTCACATCTAAACCAAAGATGGTTGCAAAGCGTCTCTGCTGGTTTTTTAGTGTCCAAACTCATCGTGTCCTGGAACTTTAGTTTGGAGAAAATAATGACGTATATTGTAAGAAGTAAAAATAAGATTTTGTGGGTCAAAGTTCAACAGAAGGAGGAACAAAAGGCATGTATGATCCTCATTCATGATGTTTTCGAGATAATCTTCGAGATGTTCAGAAACTCAGGAGAACATCTCTGGTTCCAGGACACGCATGTAAACTTCTGGTCAGAGAGACGTTCAGCGTCTCTTCTGTCAGAAGACGGAGCAGCAAAGCAGAGGTTTCCTCCATCAGTCTGAGCCGTCAGGACCTCCAGAACCCGGAGCTCAGCTGGCCTTTAGGTGGACTGATCTGCCGGTTCTGCAGCGAAGTCTGAGTGGAACAGAAAAGGTTTCATCTTTACAGAAAAATACGTTTTCTGGGCTGCATCATCAGTCTGTCAGAAAATCTATTTTCTAAGATTCTCAATAAGGGAAAAATCAGGCAACATTTAGTCCGGGCCGTTTAGTTGTCTGCTGCTTTGATTTAGAGCAACGCCGCTGTTTTCATGAATACAGCAGCCTTTAAAGTCGGAGGGAAGCGGCTGTTCCAACGGTTGCAGTTCTGAATTCTCCCGAGTGGTGCACGACTTTACACGAGTGAATAAAGTGAATTTGATGGTCGATTATCAAGGGGGCGGGATTGTTCTTGTGGAAGGTTCACAAGCACGTTTGATTGGGGCCAATCTCTCAGAAGCATCTTGCTAACCAGTTAGCAACTTAGTGCTAGTAGGTTCTCAAGGGGAAATTCCATTGGGACCAAGTAGCACTAAATTGGTGACTTAGAAACGACACTGTCAAGGAACGCTATGGAAGGCGGAAACATGCAAGAGGAGGAGAGTTTAGTGTCGGAGGTCGTGGATGAGTCTCCTCCATCATACATTTTTTATTCAGAGGAGGAAAGTGGGGACGAAGATGTTGTGGGAGAGGACGCCAGGGTGGCAGAAGCTTGGTTTGGTGTAGAAGGCTTCCAGCCGTACATGTTTGAGCCCTTGCCTCGCAACGCTGCCAGTTCTGTTAGCTCTACGCCTGCCGAAGACACAGACGTCCATCCCTGTGAACACTGGGACGGAACTCAATAATTATTCTTATTTCAACTGTTGTGTATATTAGCTGCGACATATGAATCAAGATGCTATGACCGAAAAAATTTGATTGACAGATGACCGTTGATATATGATTGGCCTAATTTAAGTGTAAAAGCTGACGTATAACTGACTGGCCTGCATAAGAAAAGGGGAAAAAAAACCACAGGTTTTAAGACAGGATTTAAAGATTTTTTGTTTAAAATTAAGTTTGGGACAATATGGTCTGATAAAGAGTACATTTGACTTCCCTATGACTTTAACTCAAGCTGGAGAAGATTAAACTTGATTAGAGTATTTTCAACATTTGCATAAATATAAAGGAAAAAAAAAGAATTTAATCATTGCTTTTAAAACTGCATTTTCTTCTCCATCTCCTGTATCCTTCCTTTCTTCTAGTGTCCTTGATCTTTTTAATCTGGTAAACTAAAAACAACACAGCGCTATAAAGATGACACTAGTGGGTTTTTTTCAGCAAAGCTTTAGAAAGAGCAGCTTTCGCTGATTTGGATTGTTTGGATTTAAGCCTAAAAATCTAAACAAGGCAAAGGATGGGGGATATTTTTCTTTAATTAAAAAAAAAGGGACCACTTTCTGAATATCGTGAATCTTTCCGTTTTCCTTTATACATACTCCTTGAAGTTTCACCTCTAAATATTCTAACGATATTCTTAAAAGCGACAAACCTCCAGGAAGTGCTTCAGCCTGATGACGGAGCCCATCTCTCCAGTGCTGGTCACAGCTTCGATTCTGCAGAGGAGGCAGAGAGAACATCTTACATCTCACCGCTACTCTGTTTCACCTGCCTGCTTTAAGAAGGTCGCACGTTTAAGGTCGTACCTGGGGAAGTATTCGTCTTTCAGGAGCAGGATGAGCTTCCAGAACTGACCCTGGTACTGCTTCATCAAGGCGTTGCCGCAAACCTAAAGGATGTTCAAAAAAACATTTCAACCTTTAAGTGGATTCAAAGCTTCGGGTGACGTCTGGAGCAACAGGAACCAGAATGTTAGATCCAGTTTGGACTTGCCTCCAGGAAGTCAAAAAGCAGCGTCGCTGTGATGTCAGCCAGAGGCTCCATGTTGAGCATCTGAGCCAACCAACGCCAGCCGTGGTTCAGGCCGTGAGGAACAGACTGAGGGACCACAGATCACAACCAATCAGATCTTAGTTTAGAGTCAGCCATGATGGGATGCAAACAGGAAGTTAGTTTTTTTTTACCCCTTGCTTTGAGTTGTACGGCCACTTCAGCTGGATCACCGCGGCGTAGAGACGGATCATGCCAGACATCCTCTTTAGAAAACTGTCCTGACCTTCGACCCCAGAGTCATCCACACGGTAACCCAGGATCCTGCAGGTGAGGGGACACGGACACGCCGTTATGGAGGCGAAACTTTTTCAGACCTGGAAGCATCTCTGAACCACTCACTTCTGATACTCCTCCACCGGTGTGCCGTCCTTCATGGGCGGGTAGTGCGGGACGGCGTACGGACACTTCTTATGCAGGTGAGCCAGGATGAGGTCGCCCACCTGAGGGTGGAGCTCCCAGATACCGGAGGCCACCACGCCGATGGGGAAGGCTGCTTCATGGTGGCACGCCACCTCCTCCTCACCTTGTTTCTACCCAAGATCATCGAGAAAATTGTTAAAAATTCTTCAAGTTTAGAGATTTTTTTTCTCCACCTCTCCCAAGAATAAACAATTTCTCCCATAAATGTTTAGAAAAAAAAAACTCCTGCCTGCTCAAACTTGGCTAACTTGTACCTACAAAACTTTATGAACCAGATGAATTCAAGCTTGGATAAGAAGAATATCTGCAGGAGGTGAAAAGAGTTTCTGCTTCCTGTTAAAGACGCACCACAAACTTCTCGGCCAGCTTGTAGCTGACGAACTCCAGGCCCTGAGGATGCTGCGAGGTGGACACAGAGTTCCCTCCAGACACCACGGCCCGCCCGGACAGCAGCCTGTCGATCTTGTCGAAGATCTCCTTGAGCTGCGATCCAGAGTTGGTGGAGATCTGGCTGACGGGGATGGTGGCCGCTTTCTGCAGCTCCAGCTTCAGTTTCTTTGTCTAAAGCAGACAGGAAGGGAATGAAACAGATATTTAGAGAGAGAAAAATGCTTCCTGCAATAATCTCTGAGGATAATTTGGAGGCAGAGCGGGTTTGAACCCACCTGGCTGTCTTTTGGAGCGTTGAGCTGTTGGAAGGACTGAGCGCACTGAGCGGCTGCGTCCTGCAGCTCTTTGTACCATTTCATGGTGCTCTCCTCTGCGCTGTTCTGCAGCCCTGATAGAAAACATCTGCTTTTAAAACAACTTAATCCCTACAGACTTACATCCACCGTGTTTCTTAGATCTACGATTCGCCACCTTTTTTCTGAGCTTTCTCTTTGGCCGCCTGCTCTGCCTTTTTCTGCGCCTCCTGCTGCGCCTGCAGAGCCTCCTGCTTCCTCCGCTCCTCCTCCTGCTGCTGAACCTTCTTCTGCTCCTGAACCCTGGCCGCCTCCTCCTGCATCTGCCGGATCACCGACTTCATCTCGCAGAGCGCCTGCTCAGCCGCATCCATATCCTCTGGGCTGGGAAATTCTCCCTAAACAGAAGAAGAAGGAAGCTACCGAACAGAACAGCAGGAAGGGGAAAAAAGCCTCAGAGGCGCCCGTAGTCCAACTGACCTCTGCCGTCTTTCTCACCACCTCCGACACCTGGGAGCACAGCTGGTTGCCGCGGGAGCTGTGGGAGACGAGGCTGGCGGGCGGGAGGATGCAGTCGGTCTGGGCGGACGGCTCCAGCAGCTGGTTGAGCTGCAGGATCTCCTCCTGGATGCTGTTGAGCCTCCGCAGCCTCTCTCTGCCCTCCGCCTGCCTCTGCTTCTCCTGCTCCGCCTCGCGGAGCCGCTGCTGCTCCAGCTCCCTCACCCGCAGGTTCAGGATCTGATGGAGAAAAGTGAATCCAGCCTGAAACGTCCTGACAGACTCTGTGCTGCGATCATGTTAGGTCTCACATGAATGGATGCGAAGAACACGTCTCTAAAGCAGGCGTGATCGAAACAAATGAAACTGGTCCAACGTTTATTCATATTTTCTGCCCTGATGATGAAAAAAACCTAAACCCAGCAAGGTAGGAGAGCTAATAAATGCTCCATAGCGCCTGAACAGTTTACTTCTAGGATGTAATCAGGTTTGGGACCTTCTAGAAAAAGGAGGATGATGCTGGGCAGAAGATTTAAGGAAATGTTAAAAAAAAAAAAGAAAAGAAAGAAAAAAGTCCCATATTTATGGGTTTAACTGTTTTAAGGTAATATATAATATAATAAATTTAAGGAAATATTAATAACCACACTTTACCTGGTTACTTCTGCATAAAGAAGGAAGACTTTAAGCATAAATAGTTTAAAAAGATAATAAATCCTTTATTTTAGCTTCTACCTGCTCCACATTTAACTGTTTTAGGTCAGAGATTTTTCAATTTAAAAGCTAAAAAAAAAAAAGTTAATTTTTAGAAATATTGAAAACCAGAGAAACAGCTGATTGGTGCATCTATGATTGACACCACTCCAGAATAAGGCTGGAGTTTCACTTTCACAGAAGCCAAACAGAACATGAAGGATTTTATGCAGTTGATGAGTTTTAACAAAATTGTATGTCCTGTGTCAGATGAAGGAGAACTACAGTATAAACAGCTCCTCATTTAAGTATTTTTTAGCTGAAATTTGTTTTTACATAAATGGACATTCTTAGCCCACATGTTTTACATAAATAATTGATTATATTGTTTGATTTTTGTAAATAAAATATTGGTAAAAGTCAAACCTGTTGGAACTAGTGCCAGAAATTATTAAGAACATTTAATGCAAACAACCAGATCGCCTATGTTGGCATGTTGCTTAGCTCCAGATATCCGAGGTGTAGACCACTACAACATGACAGGAATGTCTGGTTTTCTCTTCTTAATAAAAATGAAGATTTCAAATTTAACAAGTGTAAGATGCTAGCCCGATAAACCAGAGTAAATGTGAGATTAAATGTGTAATTTAGTCTGGTGATGAATGAGACATCGGAAGATTTTTGATGAGAACAAGCCGTTTCTTTCAAACCATGTCTGTTCCTATTGGCCAACGCTCTGACCAATGAGAGCAACCGACTGTGACGTAGTAATTGAGACAGAAAGCTGGTGGGTGGGAGTGTAAACAAACTTCCTGTCAGTAAAATGGCGAATACGTCCTTCTCAAAAATTAATGAGCATAGATCCCCTTCCTGCTCAAGTTTCAACGAAAACCCCAAGTCTAATCCTTCCAAAACTGATTCCCAGGCTGAATCAAACGAGAATGTTCAATAGCTGTTGCCATCTTCCTTGTTGTGCTTTGCGCAGCTTTGTCGTCACGCCCTCAAAACTCTGCCCACTTTGCATCCAGATATTCAAAACACATCTCTTCGCTGTGATTGGCCCACCAGTTCTAGGGCCTGGGGCATTGATCGAGGCTAGACCACTTGCAGGCAAAAATGATTTTGGCTGCTGGCGGGTGGGGATAGTTCACTAGGCTGGTAACTTCCTTAGTATCTTATTCCAGCCCTTTAGGTGGCAGCAATATGCATAAACTAGGTTTGCAACCCCACATGCAAGAAGACAGAAAATCAGCTAGCTTGCAGATTCATGCAAATAGAAGTTAGTGCTTTTCCACACAAAGGTTATAATAAAGTCCTGCAAAAATGGACTCTTAAAAACGCAAGCTTCCAAGGTAGTGAAAAACCCTAAATCCTGTAGTAAAACATTTATGTGGTTCTGGTTAGTGCAGGGGAAAATAAAAATATAATCGCAATATTTTTTTTAAATGATCAAATTTTTTTCTTTTTGCCTGTCCATTTTTCGTACCTTTATTCGGTGTCGCTGCTCTTCCTTCAGCTTCTCGTGACGTCCCATTAGCTCTTTGGTTCTGCAGTGGAGCAGGAAGATAGTTTGGGCTCAGAAACATTTCAACAATCGCTCTAATTGGTCCTGTGTGTTCACTTCTCACTCTCTGTCATCCATGTCCCTTATGGTCTGGGACTCCTGCCTCTGCTTCAGCTCCCTCAGCTCCTCGAAGCGCTTCAGGTGCTCCAGCTCGGCGCTCGCGACAGACTCCACCAGCTTCTCCTGCTTTGCTTGCCGCTCTCGGAGCGCCGCCTGAGCCAACAGGATTTTAAGACATTGATTCAGATGAGTAAAGGGGTTAGAAAAACAGATCTAGGCCACAGAAGTTCAGCTGCAGTGAATTTAAACTCGCTTTCCACTGGGCTAAGAATTCTAAGGTGCAGCAAAATCTAAAAGGTCTGAGCCGACCATCATTTTTTGACAGTCTTCCAACAAAAAACCCAGGTTTTTGCATACTTTTCTTCTTTTTAACATGACATCAAAAAGTACAAAAAGCTTTCTGAAAGTCTTTTAAGAATGTTTTTTTTTAAGAGGGAGAAAAAAAGAATAAAGTCTGAGTCTGACAGCTATCAATGAAATTTACTTGAATGATAAATGGGAAATATGGTTGCCCAAGAGGCAACAATGAGAAAATTAGGCACTTAAGCCTAAAGAAAAGGCTTCTGTGTTTCCAGAACCACAATCCTACCTTTACAGACACATAGCTGTGTCATTTTTATATCAGATCCACAGTTTTATTTTTTTAAAGGATGAATTTCAGCACTGTCAGATAAGTTTTCTATGGTTGGTCTGTGCAGCTTAAATAAAGCTGATAACAGATAGGAAGAATTATGCAGCCTGAGAGTCGGACCTTGGCTTTTTCCCGCTGCGCCTCTTGGAAGCGGATGATGCACCCTGCCGTCTCCATGGCTTTAGGAGAGAGCAGGGAAATGGCCGGCGGGGGGGAAGGACTAGAGTCTTCCCTGACATCTGTCTCTGGACTTTCATCTTTTTCCTTGTGGCTGACCTGCTGCAGCGCGTTAAGCTTTGTTAATGACCCCAAAATCTGAAATGAGAGAGAAAGACTCACAGAGAGGTTCTCCAGCAATATGCTCCTCCTTTTAACAAAAGGTTTGAAAAAGCCTCTGCAGATCGGAATGACTTACATCTTTCTGTTGATTTTTCTGAGATGGGGTTGAGGAAAGTGTGGCTGGCTTTCCGCCGAGGTCTGCTGTGGATCCAGAGGAGGAAACAGAGGCTGGACTCTCCTCAGAGCCTGTGGTGCTGAGGTCCAGGAAGGACGATTTTTTCAGGGACAAAGAGTCTATCCGCTCCAATATGACTGCAGACTGAGAGGATAGACTGAGGGTCTCTTTACAACCGGCCAAAATATGCTGCAAGAACAAAAGGAGATGTTTAGATGTGGGCTGACAACTCAAACTGGAACGATGACGTAATGAGAGTCAATCTGTGGAAAATCCTCATTGAAAAATGAAAACATCTGCATCTGTTTCTGCACAACAATCTGTTTTACCTGCTGTGATAGAAAATAAGGAGGATTTCTACATGAAACAAGCAGATTAAAAACTAGATTATTTTCTTCCAGATTTGCATGATATCAAATGTTTAGGAATGTGAAAAAAAATCAGACTATCAAACCAGTTTGTAAATAACCACAAAACATATTCTATCAGGATGTTTAAGTTTCGTCTCCTAAAGAGAAAAAACAAAAGTGAAACTTAGCTTTCTGTGGTGGAAACAATGCCCCCTGGTGGGCATATTGGGGAACAATGGTTTAGGAAATTTAAACATTTTTAAATAAAGCATCTTTCATTTACACCATATGCTAGTTGTGTCAACATAACCTGAAAAAAGTTTCTTTGTATAAACATGCGCAATTAAACTGATAGATGAAATTGATAAAGGATAAACCGATAAAATAAATCCACTGAGTTTTAAAAGTAAACAAGTAGCCCTAGCTTCCACCGAATGAAGCTAGCTGATGCTAACCGGACATAGCTTACCTCTCCTCTCTGTGACCAGTACGGGTCGAAGGTCACTTTTCCTTTTGGGGAATTTTTTAGAGCCTCTAAAGTTTCCCATCGTAGATTTTCCGAAGGCATCGCGAATTAACAAAATTCAAACTGCGGTCTGCTCCTAACAGTAGTAACAGTTGTAAGACTCATAAAGCAGTCCTACCAGAAACAGATTCTCTCGCTACTAGGTTCCGGTCCGATCCTTATAAATTCCTGCTAATTTTATTTTATTTTTTTTTTTGAAAGAAAAAAAAATCCTATGCACTTAAATTACTTCTACCGAGTATTATGGCAATATAAAGAGATATAAACAAACCTTTTTGGAAAATTATATAAACAAATGCAATATATTTAATTACATGCAACTATTCATAGCTTCCTTTACTGATCAGACAGATTATAAATTGTAGTAGAAAAAATATGCCTCACTTTTAGCTGTTTATGTGTTATCATTTTAGAAATGATGTATCCCTTTCCTTTTTAAAAAATATTGCTGGTAATATGTGAACTAAAAAAAACAATTAAACAAAGAAAATAGAACATAACACATAGATTTGGCCAAAGTCACAAATAAAACCAAAAGAACAAACTCAATAATTTCACCATTGTTCAAAATGTGAAGAACACAGAGTTTATACTTCTAAGAAGGTTCCTAAATATAAAAATGTACATAAATCCCATCCAAAGGGGACTGTCACCATGTTAACAATCCAAAGATAAAAATATTTAAATAAATAAAAGACAGAAAATCTTTAAGAGTGATTTTAATTAATGACAGCCTTGCTATAATCTGTAAATATATACTAATGAAAGTTCATATTTGAAGTTAAACAAACAATGCGATAAAAAAACAGGTTACAAAATTCTTTTTTCTGAAAGGTTTTTACTTCTACAAGAATGCTGAAAAAGTAATAAATGAGGTTCAGACCTTTTTATTTTAAAACAGTGTGAGTCACTCCTTAATTAATGGAACATCTGTGCTTTAGAGTACGGTGTAGGTTTTAGGACATCCTTAGTTCTCCTTAGACAAAAAATAAATACAAATAAAATTTCGGGTGCCTAGAAAAGTTTTCTGGACTCTGGAATAAAATGTTACCACCATCGTCCGCCATTGCTGTCCAATCCGCTTGGACCCGCAGGGAACAATGGGAAATAGAGGGATGTTGGATGTTTTTAGGCAAGAATGTAGCTTTGTTAAACTTAAATTTCTGCACAGTTGGTCTGTACATATTTCACTTATTTGGCAAAAATAACTTTCATTTCCTGAAACAACAAATTTCCTGAGACCTTCGGATGTCCTACAATGTACGCCGTAGGAGAGTTCTGGATTCTTCTCAGCTGGAGAGCTGAGATTCACCAAAGACGTTTCCATATGAGGTCTTCAGAAACTGAACATAGTTCTGCAAGCTGCGGTTTGTAGAATCCGACTGGTCCAGCCGCTCCTTCATGTTGTGAAGCTGGGTCTGAAAGCGACGCTCCATCTAGAGACAGAAAAACACATTTTAATCCGGCTGAAGGTTGGAGACAGACCAGGACGAGGGGAAGAGACACGTACATCCTCCTTGCTTCGCTGCACCTGACTCAGCTCTGATTTGGCTCGGCTCAGCTGGCTCTGCAGCTCCAGCGCTTTGGACTGGGACGCCTTCTCTTTGGCCAGAACCCTGTGCATGCTGTTGTCCACCTGCAGGCAGAAGTCAGTGAAATTACCAAAATTATAATCTGTATAAAATAGCATAATGCATAATATTCCCTTTTTTAGTAATCATGGTCTATGCTTTCCCTTCTAACCCCAAAATAAAAAGGATCCCATCTATTGAGCGGCTTTTACTGAAGCAGACTTTCTGTGCTGCAGGACCTAAATAAACAAATAATAAATAAACACAGCCATGTCTATATTTTACAGAATAGACATGATCTTTTTTTTTATTAAGCCCTTTTATTATAGGAAAAATTTTGGTAAGACTTGCCTGAACAATTATTTACTGCTTTCTTTAAATAAATCCAAATATTTTATATGTTTTATTGAAAAAAAAATTGAACTAAATTCAACCCTAAAGGGAAATTAAACACATTGAATAAAATTAGAACCCTTAATTATTTTTTTTTATTTTGGCCAGTCAGCAGTTTTTACTTGTTTTATTTCTTCCCATATGGTAAGAAGTTATAAGACCACTGACATAAAAAGGAAGAGGAAGGAACGGTAAACAGATACACCTTTAATGAAACATCTTTCTACCAAATGGTGGCGTATTTTACCCTGAGGACGAGGAATCATTAAGAGAGGAAAATAAGTTTTCTGTTTCCAACCTGTCTCTGAGCGTCGTCCAGAGCTTGCTGCAGCTGCCTGGACACCACGCTGCACTCGCGGGTTTTCTCCTCCAGCTGCTGCTGAAGGCTGCGGATGTTTCCTTCCTTCAGGCTCAGAGTTTGAGACGTAGTTCGGTTTTCTGCATTCATATCCTCCAGCTTCCTACAATCAACATGCAAGCTTCAGCTTTTACAACACGCAGGGAAATAAATTCTCAGTTCTAGATTAAGAGCAGTTTTTATTCTGCTCTCGCCTCCTTATATCTAAAACACATAGTTTATAACGTATAACTTTACTGTTATATCCTGGAATAAGATGTTAAATGATTTCTTTTTTTATGAACAAACAGATTTAATTCTTTTTTTTGTTTTGTTTTCACCACTATAATCTGTGCAGAGGAATGGGAGACATTCAGAGATGGAGGCACAGAGGCATCAAACCATCTCCTGCTGCTGCAGGAGTAATAATGTTTCTTAGGGGGGTGGTGAGGCATACCTCTCTAGGTTGTTAATTTTCTCCTTCAGGACGTTGTTTTCCTCCTGCAACAGCAGATTCCTCTGCTGAAATGTTTGCAGCTGAGCCCCTTGCTGCTCCACCTGCACACAAACACAAAGCCTGAGTGTTAAGAGGCCTCCCTGTTCACACACAGACCTGACAAGCCTAAAAGGATGTTCTGCTGACTCAGTAAGTCTAAAGGTGGAACAAATGGATCCGAATGGAACATTAGAGCCTGGAACCAGGCAGGTCAGAGGATGTTTGTCTCAAACCTTGAGTCTGACGTCAGACAGGGCAGCCTGATGATCCATCTTCCTCCTCTCCTGGACGTCAGCCTCCTCCTGTGTGTCTCGGAGCTGCTGTTCCGTCCTCCTCAGCCTCTCTGGCAAAGCCTCAAGCTCCTGGATCTGGTTCAGCAGCTCCCGTCTCATCTGCTCCTTCTCCTTCTCCAGGCTCTCCTTTAGCTCCCGTGCCTCCTTCTGTGTCACCTCTAGCCTCAGACAGTGCTCCTCTGCCTCCAGACGGGCCTGCTGGACCTGTAGAGGAACCAACCAAAGATAAAGACTGTTTTCCCTCCATGTTTGGATGATCTGCAGGGCAGATGTGAGGGCAAAAGTACCTTCTTCTTGTATTTCTCCACCAGGATTTCAGACTTTTTGACCGATGACTTCAGCTGACGAGCCTCAGAATGAAGTCGCCTGAATTTCTCCTCAGACGACGTCAGCTCGCTCTGATCAGGATGAATGAGCAGAATAAAGAACGTCGGTCTATTCATCGAAGGTTTCCTGCTCCTTACGGCCAACCTACCCTGAGCGTTTGGTTTTCCAGCTTCGTGGAGGCGCTCTCAGCGCTCATTTGGTGAAGCTGATTTCTGAGCTCCTCCCTCTCTGCTCGACTCTTCTCCTCTGCCGAGCGAAGCCGGGAGTTCAGCTCAGTGATCCTCCTAATAAAGAAGGGGTGTTATTCAGCCTAATGCCACAAACAGATCAGCCTCCCTTTCTCCTAAACGTAGCTTTGCACAGCAGCATCCATCAGCCTCCGAACGACGCAAACTCTGACTCCCTATATATAAACTCATTCACATACTTATGCGTAACAATCAAATGAATAAGTGATACAGCTGGAACGCAAAAACCAGCCAGTGGGATTCTTCTTCAGGAAAATGAGTGTTTGGTCTTTGCTCACCGTTTGAGGTCAGAGATTTCTTCCTCCAGCTGCCGTTTCCCAGCTGCTTCCTTCGAGTGGCGCAGGCACCAGTCGCTGGACGTGGACAGAGCCTGAGACAGCTGCGCCTCCTTTAAGACAGAACAGAGGTTTATGTTTAGATCCTGTTTCCAGTTTTTTTTTCTTCCTAATAACATCCCTGAACTGTTGGCTCCATTAAACGATTAAAGCTTCCAAGTGAACACGGAGGAAACAAACCAGGAATATAACTTTGGTTCCACTATAAACTCTATAAGGATGTTTCAAACATAGTAATATAAAATCTGTTTTATTGAGGTGAAAAGACATAAATAAAAAGAAAACGTAAATATGCCTTCATTGGCTCTGAACACTCGGACAGCCTGCGGCGGCCGGTTTATGCTAATGTCCAGCATGTGTGGCGTCTGCAGAGATGTTACCCCTGACTCTAAACCAGACAGGTCCTGCATGGAGGGAAGCTCTGCCCTGATGATCGTCTCTGCAGATCCGATTGTTTGTGGTAGTTTGGTCCTGTCCTGTTTACCGATAGAGATGGACGGACACAGGACAGAAAGTGGTCCTCAGCAGACTTAGTGTCTCTGAGGATGACGAGGGTGGAGTTCTCCAAATGTTCACCATCATCTCTACAGTCCTCAGTGGTTCTGACTCAGACTGTTCATTGGATCAAACTGCAAACATCAGGACTTTCCCTTTAAGTGCAATTATTTTTATCTGCTAATAGGAGAGATGGACGGGATGATTACCTGCTGATAAAAGTTTAAAAACACTTTCCACCCATATCTTTTCAACTATTTACAGTAGAAATTCTAGTTAATAACATGGAATTTAAAACATAAACCTGTAAAGGCTGCAGAACAATGTCATAGAGCTGAGAAAATATTAAACATTTTGACTCAATCTAAATCAATACTTCTCTCATTTGCTATTAAAATGGGAAAACCGACTCCATAACAAGTCCTTTCATCCCGTGTTTAATTTAAGTCTTTTCTGACCTTCTCCTGAACTTTCTCTGCCAGTTGTCTTGCCGTCTCCTTGGCTTGTTCGGCGCGCTGCGTGGTCAGGGCCAGCTCCTCTCGCTCCTCCCTCTTCTGCGCCTCCTCTTCCCCCCTCTGCTCCCTCAGAGCCTGAAGCTCCTCCTGCAGAATCCGGAGCTCCTTCCGCTGCTGCTCCTGACTCTGATGCATCCTCTTCCTCACAAACAGGGTGGATAGGAGAAGCAACAAGCTGAGATGTTAGTGCACCGTTCTCCTATCAGAAAGCTGCTAACGTTCTGCTTTGGCGGACACAGCTAACTGTTGCTTAGCATCGATTTGAAAAGAGTTTGAAGAGGTTTAAAACAGTTGCTGATACTCCCAGGAGTGGACGTCCCAGGATAGAGTGGAAATGCTCAGAAAAATGACAAAAAGGGCCTCAGTTAGCAGATGAAAGGTTAAAGTTTATGAGAGAACAATCAGAAAAAGTCAGACATGCTTTGTTTGGAAAGACTAGAAGGGAAAATTCCAAGAACCTAATCTACTGCATGTCCAGGTCTAAAGCACGGCGGAGGAGGGCTGATGATTTGGGTCTTTCTTTTGCAGCCATTCAGCGGATCATGGACCACCATCTCTGAGGTTCTGTTTACACGTTTTCTAAGTTTTGTGTACACCACAATGGACTCTGTTTTCCCTGAAAAACAGGACGATTTGAAACGTTTCAAAGCAACACGGTCTCTATTGTGGTGCAAACAGGATAAAAAACAGAAGCCTGCATTTATGGGAAACCCTTTCCACACAGGCAGCATGACTAAGCGCTGGCATCTTTAGAAACTACGGAAGCCGAGAGCGGTCATACTCGACTTTTTTTTTTTTCCTTTTCAAAACAATGACATAACTATCTCATTATTACGGTTAAAACATTGTTTTTCCGAGATAGCAAGATAATTATCTCGTTATCATGTCAAAACAGTTATTGATTTCTTGAGATAACGAGATGATTAACCTGAATTAGTAATGAACGAGGCTGGATCCATGCCTACGGTAACCATAGTGTGCAATCGGGGTACCGCTTGTGCACAAATAATACGTTTTTCAGTTTCCTATTTCTTTTCATTGATTGTCAGGTTGTGGTGGATAATTGGATTGCATGGGTTACAGTAGAAACAACTCTGCTTTTTTAATGAAAAACTTTAATCTGGACTCATTTTGGGGGTTAATGCATCTTATACCTGTTACAGGCGTAACACCAGATGCTAAGGCGCCGGAGGCATAGGTCTAATTGCTTATGAATCAGAAGTGGAAGCAAATCATCAAACCAACAACGTCATCTTGTTCCCTAAAAGTTAAACACAGGATTATTTAAAAAATTTCACATTGGCTGCCACGACTTATAAGTCATCTCCCGCTGTTGTGGTATTGAAGGATGTAATCAGTTTTAACATACACCAATCATCTCATTATGACGAGAAAAAGGCTTTTGTTATCTTAAGATAATGAGAAAATTAACTTGTTTTCTCAAGAAAACCACAGTGGAAAAAGTATCTTAGGGACACGGCCTCTCTCGGCTTCCGTAAGAAACAGAGAGTGTTTGTAGGTATATTCATATAAGATTTAAAGAACATACCGCCTACTAGTGATGTGTTTCTACCAGGGCCATATGCACAAAGATCATCACTTGAAATTATTTCATTTAGATGCATCAGCAAAAATAGAAAATTGTCTCATCTTCAATTAATAGTTTTTAAAAAAAAACATGATATTTTAGACTGAGATCTGGTGACTATGCAGATATAAATCAGTTTATTTATATCTGATATAAGTCAGCAGATATAAATGAGCTGAAGCTGGATTCCTCCATGCCTGACCGAACAATGAAGTGGCGCAGCTGAGATGGTTTTAGAAGCTGCTGGATCATCTGCCTGTTGTTGATTTTATTTCTTAACAGCTTTTTTATTTTCAGATTTATTTCTCTATAGTGCTACATCTAATGTGTGTATTGAGGTTTAATTAATCAATTGTTAAAGCTGATTTAGACCGGATCACCTTCATCACCTCCTAGGGCGACAGTGGTGTCAGATGTAGGAGTTTGCCCTGAAATCAAAGGGTTGACGGTTCAAGCCCTGGCTCCGGCTTTCAGTGTCATTGTATCCTTGGACAAGACACTTCACCTGCATTATCTACTGATGGTGGTCAGTGGCACCAGTGTATGGCAGCTTCGCTTCTGTCAGTCAGCCCCAGGGCGGCTACGGCTACAATGTAGCTTACTACTATTTCTTTGAAACGATTATTGTTATCCATCAAAATCATGGTCTTAATGATAAGTTGATGAAAAAAAATTATAATAATAAAAGAAAAAACAGATTTTGACTTAAAAGCTTTAGGTTAAAATTCCTCGGATGTAAACTCTGACCTGGATCTGAGCAGCCAGGTGGGCCTTTTCTGCCTCAGCCTGGTTCAGCTGAGACTCCAGATGTTTGCGGGTCGACTCCAGAATCCTTGACAGCTCCTCTGTTGTCTTCATGCTGTCCTGGATCAACAGAAGCAGAGGCTGCCTGGTGATTTCCACACACCTTTACGCAATTATAGGAAATAAAGTAGAGTTTCTGGAGGCGAAACCAAAACCAGCTAACTTTGACGTTTCAAACCTTTTCAAAGTCCAGGTGCTCAGCCAGCTGTGAAGCCTCCTTCTCCTTGTTAGAGAGTTTAGTGAAAAGTCTCTGGAAAGAAAGAAGTCACACTATCAGACAGGAGAAAGAAAAAATGAGAGGAGGAGACGTTCATCACTCACCATGTTTTCTGCTTCACTGTCAGCCAACTTCTTCTTCAGGGCGTCTTTCTCTGTCGACCACATCAGAGTCCTTCTCTGTAAAAAAAAAAAAAAAAAATCTGCACTTTCTTGCAACATTTAATCTTTTATATAAAACCAACATCAGTTCTAAAAAAATACATTGATTTAAAAAGATCTAACCTAATCTTTATATACTTAGAAACAAAAATAAGTAGAAATAAGTGATGTGAGTCCAGCTTCATAAAGCCCACAGAAAACTTAACAGATGTTAGTTTCTAAGACAGGCTACAGCGAAGGGTTAAATTTGAAGCAAAAACCTTTAGATTGTGAAAGAAAGGGAAGAAAAAGAAACAAACATGCTTGATTTTACTATAGAAATGTAGTTTTAAGATATTCTAAGTGTCCATGGAGCCCCTGACCAGTCAGAATGGAATATTCTGGGCAGACTTCCACTCTGCTGGGTCTCTGCTTCTCATACCTCTGAATCGCTCCAGTCCCTGAGGAGGTCTCGAAGGCTGTGGTTTGTTTTGTCAAACATTTCGATTTTTTCCAGCAGCAGCTCCTGCTGCCGTCCCAGTGAGGCTGCATGAAGCTTCGACAGACGCCGCTCCTGGAGGATAAAGATGATAAAGAGGCAGACCGGAGGCGTTCAAACCGAAACCAATACAGTTTTCCCGACTTTCACGAAGCCACAGCCCTTTTTTTAACGTGGAGACAGAAGGACTGGGATAAAATAAAATTGCTGTTGGGCGTCTTCCATCAATTAAATGAAGCCGTCTGCATCCAAGGTGCACAAACTAGTGTTATCACAGATCATTCCTCCCAGTAGCTGCAATGTTTTACAACCAACTCAACTCAACCAACCTAAAAAAACTGAGTATTTAAATCCCGGTGGTTATTTGCAATTACTTTCTTTTTTATTCTTTTTTTAACTAAATCTTTAAATCTGAGTATATATATTTTTTTAAGAACTCTAATGCTGTAGACTTCTATGTAGATGTTACATCAAATCATACAATAGAAGTGCAAAAATGATTGCTCTTATGAAAAGAAGGACATTTCTTATTTGGTTTTATAAGAGCCACAGAGGGACCAAAGAGTCCAGTGAGGTTCTGTGCAGCAGGTTGCAGTCCTTTGGTTAGTTTAGGAGTAAAGCCTACCTTAGTAAGGCCATCAATGGTTTCCTTCAGAGCTGTCAGCTGATTGGCTACAGCTACACCGTCGATTTCTGCCTCTACCAGCGCCCTCAGGAGCACGTCTGTCTCTCTTTGTTGATCATGGGACTCTGATCTGTAAATATGATCGATCTAAATGAGTTAAACTGTCATTCCTTGGGATGGACTGAGGGAAAGAGATGAGGGAGATGGGGGTGAGAGGAGAGAATTACAGATGAGGAGAGGAAGGATAGCATGAAGCATTGCTTCTGAGTTCCTTCTTGGTTGGAGAGGTGATGGACTGGCTAGAGTCCTTATAGAACTGGAGCGAAAGCGGAAAGCAGGTGGGAGAGAGATTAAAGTAATGAATGTGCACCCTGAAGAGAAGAAGTATGAAAGCCAACAGATGAAGGGATGAATTCATAGAGGGAGAAAGGTGAAAAAAGTCTCGGAGGTGGTGGGGAACCTGGGCTCAACTGTCAACAGTAACCATGCAGAGAAGAAGATAGTAACACCCGCTATGATGCACGATTTGGAGACGGTTGCTTTAACTGAGAGTCAGGTAGCAGAGCTGGACATGTGTAGATCTCCACTGAGAGTAACTGGCTGAATTAAAACAGATCAGGCTGAATGTTGTGGAGAAAACGTGAAACAAAGCTAAAGCAGGAGGATGTAGAGGGGATTCAGTGCCTTGCAAAGGTATTTCTATCTACCAGTGAATAAAGTAAAGAAGAAATACATAGTGGTCACAAAGTAGCACGTTTCCAAAAGACTGTTTCATATTTGTACAAGAAAAACAGTGGTTACTCTGATATAGGTCATAAAGTTAGAAATAAGAGGAAAGAATTCCTCAATCTTAGAGAACCGTTTAGCTTTTTTCAAATTTCTGAGACTATTTCATTATGACTAAAACATTGTTTGATGAGCAGACTGACAATTCGTGCTTCGACAGACAGTCGAAGCGTCATACACAAGAAGGGTTTTGTGGATACACAGACGCGACAGCATCCAACTTAACTCAGACATTGATGGCAATGGTAAGGTGAAGTAAAAAAACCACAAAAAAAAAACCTTTTCAAGTCAAGCGCACGCCACAAGAACAATCAGAAAAGTGCTGCAGTTCTAAGCTTTGCCCACATGGCAGCATCATTAGAAAACTCCACAATGCTGCTTTAATATTTCACATTTATGCTATAATCATATAAAATCTTCCTTTTTTAAATTTCAAATGCATTAATCATGATCATCAAAGATAGTACAGGTTTTTCTCGTAAATATGTGAAACTATTCTTGACAGGTGTTTGTTTTTTTCTGAACATTTACTCCTACTTGGC